GTCTCTCATCCATACTGCTTTGTGCCTTCCTTTTAAATTTCAGCAATGCATCTCTTCAGAGTAAGCTGCTCCAAAACTTTTATCGTTCATATTCCTATCACATTCCTATCGTTCATCATTTTATTAGTGATAGTACCGTTCTGCGCTGCACTAGTGAGACCACGATTAGAATACTGCATCCAGTTCTGGTTGCCAGCATATGTAAAAGATGCAAAGACCCCAAGAGAGCATGTGAAGAAGAGCAACTAAGATGATAAATGGTGAGCAGGGTACATCTAACCATGAGTGGTTGTCTAGCCTGATGAAAAAAAGGATTAGGAGTGACGTGATGGATGTCTTCTGATACTTGATGGTCTCTCCCAAGGGGGAGAGGATTGACTTAATTCTCCGAAGCACTGTTGGAAGAAATATCCTTCTGGGTTCAGTTCCAAGTGGGGGAAAAGACACTGGAAACATGGAGGCTGTTTGGAAAGATGGTTTAATGGTGGACAAGATCACATGGCTTGGAGCTCCAAAGTGAGAAGGATGATCACATGAATCAAGATGTTGGGCGAAGGAAAATAAGGGCTGAGATGCTGAGAGACCCTTAATTTCATACCCTCCGTTGGGCCCCACCTTACTGTTGTTTCCTGTTCCTGTGTAAGAAACATATCCCATTGGCTGTCAGACTCCCAGAGGCGGGTGTCTTAGCTGACTTTGTAGGCTTTGTCTGGACCACATGGCTTCACCTGAATGTTGGCTGATGCAATCTTCCCAGGCCAGGTGGAGAGATGGGTAGAGGGCTTTGTTACGTAGAATACTCTGGTCCAGGCCTCAATGGCCCACCCATTAATAAAGATGGGCGTGAGCTTCTGCTTCTGAGGTGATGTCCGCTTCTGAGTTTCTACTTCTCTTTTAGGGGAAATATTCTGCCTTTTTAATATTTCCTAACTTCTTCCGGTACAAGAGGACAGGACAAGAAGCAATGAGTGGAAGCTTGTTGTAGAGAGATACAAGCTAGAAGTAAGGAGAATTTTTCTGACAGTGAGAACAATTAATGGAACAGATGAAGTTGTGGGTCCTGGAATGAAAAAAACGGACAGCCTTTTGTCCGGGAAGCAGTAAGATCTCCTGCCTTGAGCAGAGGATTGGACTCAAGGCTCCGTACAGCCTTATGATTCTATACGATTCATTCCACGATGATAATATATTGTAATGTTGAGAGTCAACTGGCATAAATATATTGATTGAGCAATATCTGACTTGCACTGGTGTGTTTACGGACTCTGCCTTTCCGTGGTTTTTGTGGCATCTCTTCTCTAAAATCTCTTCCTAACATGTTAGCAAAGATCTGATTGTAGGTGGGGAAGGGTAATCTATTTCCAAGCTCCATTAGCTTGTATCACGCTTGCTTGTTGCATTCCCATTTACTGATCAATACTGTGAAGCTGTAGCACCAGAGAGCAGAGTAGATATTCCAGGGGAAGTAACCAATTACGTCTATCTTCCTTGTTCTCGGCAACATGATGGCGTTGTACATATCTGCTTGCAACGCGATTTCAAGGGCTGCATGAATAAGATAGGGTGATGAGCCACATGTCAGAGAATAGAAAAGAATTCTTATTAACAGGTAAGGTCATTCCCTTGGCTTCCCATCATAATTGTGTCGGTCCCGTTGTATTTTAGGTAGAATCCTCTTGCTGGACAACCCATAAAAGTGAATAGACTGGACATCCCTTTTGTTGCCTGTCCATCTTTTAGGAATATTTAATTACATAAAGTTAGGCAGTAACAAAACATGGATGCTGCTCTAGGCAAAGAGATCTTGATATATGAGCTGTGAGCCAGATCTAACATCAGAAGTTGGGGTTTTTTTTAGCACTTCTGAGAAATAAGATGAAACCATAGAGGTTTTCAGCTGAATTAAAAATGCTGCTAAATTGGAAATGCCACATGTAGTTTTCCCTTAAGACACAAATATTATAGAAAAGGTACATTTCTGTTAAACCCTCAAGATATTTACAAGTACTTTGGTGCAAATTATGTGAAAGAAACTCCAGTGTTATGTAAAATAAAGCTAAAACTTTTTTTCTGAACATGACACTTTGATGTAGTTCACTGTTTATACGGTTGCATAAAGCCACAGTCAAACAAATTAGTTTGAAATGGACCCAGTTATACATATGTGTGAATTCACTCAATGATTCCTTCCTCAACTTTTGTTTGGGGAAAACTGGAGCTTATTCGGACAACAGTGTATTAGGAAAACGTATTAGGACAACAGCTTACTAGCACATCATATGATTTCTGTTTGTTTGCAGTTTGTAAGTAGTGTGGTGATTTGTCTGGAACCAGACGGAAGAAAAAAGGAAGCCAGGATATTGAATGTGGGTGAGAGAGACGGAGGGAGGGAGGGAGATTTATGTAAGTTGCTTGTGACACATTATGGTTGGTAGGACGTGTAAGCTACCTCTTAGTTCATGTGAAAAATTTAAGAATGTATTAATGTTTCATTGTAATAATCCATTTTTGTTACAAACAGTGTTGGAGGGAGCAGGGGATTTGGTCATGGGTTGTTAACTACATTTTCGATTATGAAGTTCAGGACAAAAGCCTGGAGCTGTTGGGGATTGATTGGCCTCTTCTGGAGACAAAATTCAATATGATGATAAAGCTCTTGGCCTCATCTGACTTGGCAGTTATACAAACTTTGTTGTTGGAATCTGTGATGACCTGGGGCGTGGCACAAAGGCAACAAAGCCACATAAGTAAGAAAAGTCCCGTTAATACCTCCAACTTTGCCCCCAATGTCCAGTTACCTTTGGCTGGAGGAAAAACTCTCCCAAGAACAGTCTTTAAGTGGAGGAAATTCAGTCTGAAAACAAAGTACATACAAACTGTAAATAAAAATCCACACAAACCACGCTGCAGCAATTAACTGGACAGGGCAGGATAAGGAATTGCAGAATTCAAAGGCCAACAAAACACACACAGTTGGGAAGATGCCAGGAACCCAGATAAGACTTGACAAAAATAATGCATGCTTTGCTTCTAGCAAAGTGCTGTGCGCAAACACCCTTTTTAAAGTCCTGTTTTCCCAGTTGCAGCTAATGAAGGGAATCAGGGCCCTTTCCTCCCCCGTAAGCCACGTTGCTCCCTTCTCCATTCCTCCCTGTGTGCCCTAGGATGAAGAGTGGGTGGGCCTGGATCTTTCTCTGAATGCCCAGCTGGACTGTGCCCTTACCCAGTTTCTTCCACAGCCACCAGAGCCACACTCCTACTCCCTGTCAACTGCTCAACCTCCCCCTCGGAATCAAATTCCAACAGGGGCATGACAGAATCATTGGTCTGACTTCATTTCCAGAGTCCTGAATCACATGAGGAACAGGAGATCACCCCGTCATGCAGTGCTTGGGTTTCGAACCCTGCCAGCTGACAAGCGCTAGTGTCTTTAACCACTGGCCATCACTCCCCCAAGAGCTACTGTACCTGAAATGTAAAGGAAAAAGTCCCAGCTCTGGAGCGAGATGTTTTTAGCTTGCAGAGGCTGGGATTTGAAATTTAGAGAATGAGAGATCCTGGGTGGTTGATGAGACAGCTTGCCGGCTATGATTTCTCCTTTGAGGAGTTTAAAGATGTCCAGTGCAAATTGTCCGACTTTGAGCTTAAGGTTCCTCTCTGCTTCCAAGGCTTTCCAAATTCTCCTGAGAATTGGAAGGTCTTCTACAGGTGGACTTCTTGGCCTTCACCAACAGAGTCACAAAGCGAACCTGGCTAATTTTTTTTTTGTCCTTCTTCCAAACTCTCAGGTCTATGTTAGAATCGTAAAAATACAAATAGTCATCTGAGTTTCTATTTCATTAGCCAAATGCTTTCCTGTTGGCAGTTAAACATGCCTGATAACCCAATGATCGCAAACTCTCCTGTTTTTTTTAACCCAGAGGTGCAATTGTCCAAAGCACCGTGAGCAAATGAATTGTAGAACAAAAAAGAAAACAAGGCATTTGGAATGAAATGAAAAGTTGGGTACCACACTTTCCCTACTCAGCATTCTCACGGTATGCAGAGACTACAAGTTGACCAGCTAGTGACCATGGAGTTTGAGGTTTGGAAGGAGCAAAGGCAGCCCCATAAACAGTAGTAGCTTGGATCAAGATAATGTAAGGTTTATGAGCTGGAACAATATAAAGAGCCAAGATTTCTCAGAACTTTAAACGAAAGGGGTTTAGGAAATAAAGGCCAGCTGCTTTGTTGCTCTACTTTGACAGGAATGATAATAATTCTTCTGAACTTGCAGTGGCTACTTCGTGCTACCTTCACGGTACATTAGAGAAGGCTGGCATTAGAGAAGGCAGGAACTGAAATTCTGGAGAGCATCTCCAGAACTGGTGGGAGTGGAGGTTGGCATGAAGAACTGCTCAGAAAAAGAATCAAGAGTTCCTGACAATCCAATAGAGAGGAGGAGGAGGAGGAGGAGGGTAAAGATAAGATAAAGTCAAGTTAAGAAATGTTTGCAAACAAACAACCAAGCTCAGAGAGCACCAAAACCTCCACAATTCCTGAAAATAAACATTTTTATAGTTGAGGTTAATTTGCTTGATAATACCATAACTTTATAATGGTATTGTTAATTATTTGAATCCCCAGTATTTATTTTTATTGGTACGTGTCACTGGATAAAGTTTTGATTTATTGCAAAGGCACGATATGTATTGAACGTACTGCTAGTAAGCTGCTTAGAGTTTTATGATTGAAGAGACCTAGCAGCATTTGGAATAAAAACATTTTCTAATTGCTATCAAATTGAAAGCCAGAAAAGATTTGGGCTACATAAAGGGAAATACTTTTATGCCACTTCTTTATCAACAAGAAGAGAAGAAGCCACCAATAATCCCCAAATGATCGGCGATAATCCCATTTACAGCAGCGTAAAATGAAATGGCGAGATAGTTCCCTCCCTTCCTTTTTCTCCTGAACGTCTCTTCCTGAAATGACATCCACCCTTATTTCTCTTTCTACAGGACATGGCAATCATAAGGAGAACAGCCCCTTCCTCAGTAGCTCGGACCAAGGCAAAGGAGATTACTATGACCGAAACTTGGCCTTATTTGAGGTAATGATGCTTGAAATTTCATTTTTGGTCAATTTTTCAGCTTTCCAGAATGTTCAGTTTGGCCCTTGTCTAACAAGTGGAGTTTTGAAGGACATTAAAGAGGTCCTGGTTCATTTCAAACCATGGAGCTTTTTCTCCTCATGCCTTCAGTTTTTTTACCTAGTCATAAAAAGATGTGCAAAGACTCTCAGCCTCCATAATAAATGTTTTTGTTCAATGTTTTTTTATCTAAAACAAAAAATATTGATCTAAAAAAAAATCAAGATGATGGTCACAATTTTGTGGTTGAATTCCTGCCCATAAATTAGGAAGTACTTTGTAACTCATGTTCTTATCATTACTTGGTAGTAATCATTATTATAATGTGCTCTACACAAGGCTACCTTTAAAGACTCTATGGAAACTTGTACAGTTGGTACTTCTAGTTTTTTCTTCTTCTGGTTAATCGTGTCCAATTCTCTGAGATTAGACAAGTCCCTCCAGTTCTGTTGCCAAGGTTTTTCTGAATTATTTGCCATTGCCTACTTCCTAGGACTGAGAAAAAGTGTTTGGCTCAAGGTCACCCAGCTGGTTTTATGTCTAAGGAGAAACCATAACTCACAGTCTTCTGGCAGCTACATATGAAAAATTAATATTTTATATTGCAAAATTTAATCATGAGGAACATTGCCAATAAATCTACAGTAGAATGAATGACCAGAGATCCATGATTGATTATTTTTAATTTCCTAAAAACATTTTTTGACTCAACAGAAGGAATTAATTTACTATGGTAGTCATAAATATACTGATTTTATTGTAATCCCTCCGAAACAGAATATTTTCAAAGCCTACAATGTCATTTTAAAGGGATGTGTTGTTCTCTATGAATCAGCCAGCGTTAAGCTTGTATCTGTAAGTAATTTGAAGAAGAAGATAGACTGTATCTCAGCTCTATACTTCCTTTGCCTTGTTTTTGATTCTAGGATAGTATTTCTCAACGTTGGCAAATTGAAGATAAACGGACTTCATCTCCCAGCTGGCTGGGAGATTCTGGGAGTTGACCTACACCCATCTTCAAGTTGCCAAGGTTGAGAAGCACTGCTCCAGTGTTCGTTGTGGAACTTTGGTTCGCATCATAGTAGAGAATCAATGCCTGGATACGAACTCAGAAAAGAGAATTGGGTTATCCATGGGATGAGATGAGCATGTCTTACAATAACTCCTGGGAAGATGGCTACTCACAGGTTTGGGAATTGACTCTTGGTGTTATCTTGGCAGTGCAGTTCTAGCTGGCTGAGAGAGAGGGATAGAATATGGAAGAAGAGGATTCTCCTAGTTTATGGAAGCTGCTGTTTTGGACAGGATCCATGATCCTAGGGCAGAATTCTCAGAGTTAAAGCCCACATATCTTAAAAGTGGCCAAGGTCAAGAAATCCTGTTCTACTTAAATGGACCAAATATCTAAATTGGGGAAGGGCAAGATGTGTTTTCTGTCTCCTGGGAGGAAATCTTACTCAAGCGACAGAATTTACCATTGGATATAGATAGATAGATAGATAGATAGATAGATAGATAGATAGATAGATAGATAGATAGAT